CTTTCCCTCTCGTTGCCCCCTTTCGTCATGCACTCTATATTATTTAACAATCCATCTCGCTGTATCTACTAAGCCATCGCCGATCCAATCTAAACTGAGATTCCATTGTATATTCCGAGTGAGAGAGAAGATTATCGATGACGGAGCTTAGCCATCTCTCACATTCGCGTATTTTCTTTTTTCTCCCATTTAATGGCAACAGTGATTTGTACTGATAACGCGCACCCGATTGTTTTTTAAAACTTGTAGCTGTAAAAAAATTATTGAGAAATCGCCAAGTCTATAAATTAGTAGTAACAAATTTTTTTAAAAAATCCATTCGCAAATTATCTACGAATTTATAAATTCATAAATCTTAAACGCTAAAACTTGAATATAGCTTTGAAAATTAATTATAAGCTGAATTTTATATGCGATATTTACTATCACAATAGACTCATGGCCAACATAATGCGCGTAGAAAAAAAATGTAAAGCATTCGCCCCAACGGAAAAAGGGGGGAGAGATATCGAATTCGCGTAAGACGACAAGATGGGAGAGAATAAAAGAGCCGGACGAATCGACTTGGTCGCGCATCGAAGGGTTTCCTCGTCCACGTGCGCTTCCGGTTTCGATTACCGCTGCTTCTCTCGATCGTTATTAAGTTACCGGTAACGCTATACAAGGATAAAGAGAGAAAGAGAGAGAGAGAGAGAAAAAAGGAGAGAGAGTCAACAAAAGAAGAAAATAATTATGCGAGGTGACCGAAAAGGGGACTGCGTCCTTCGTTCAATTCGATCAACCCTTCGAATAATTCATCCAAGGATGACTCAAACACAGTTCGTTATAAAATAACTAACAACCCTATTTTTTCTTATTTTTCGTGTTTAATCTTTCAAAGTGTGCTGTGTAAGAATCTCATATTTTTTATTCAAAAAAATTAAACTTTTGAAATTAAACGGAATCTGATGTACACGATTTAAAAAAAAAAAAAAAATCGAGATAAACGATTAAAAGGGAGGAAATCATTTCTTGATTCGGGAAAACGATTTATCGCCGCGACGTTAACGATTCGCGATTTCGGCATCACGTACCCTACGACGAGACGAGACGCGTCGTCGTCGTCGTCGTCGTTTTCAATGCATATTAATCATGCGCGCTTCGGCTTGTCCGGGGCGTCGCGCGATCACGGCCATTCATCAAATTGAGGGGATCTCGAAATCTGCTACGCAGCAAACTGAAAACCGGCGCTCGTGGCATTACACTGCCGCCATGCCGGAAAAACCTGCCAGCGCGACGGCGTTTCCGGTCGATGCACCAGCGAAAAGCGCGCCCGCCGTTCCGCACTTCTGATAATTAGCTTCCAGCAGTCGCGAATCTTGTGACGAGGACGTTTGATTGCCGAGCAGAATGACAGTCCAATAATCCATATAGCATATTATCTTTTTATTAACGAAAAGAAATAACTTTATACAATCAAAAATAAATTTTAATCTTGCAGAAGAAAGAAAGAGAAAAAACACATAAAGATATAATTACAAAACAAAATATATACATTTATTATATTCGTATATACAATAATAAGAAGAGAACGATTAGAATTATATTTTTAAGAGATTTTAATATTTCTCCAAATCATTAATTATTTGTTAAAGTTAAAAACGATATGGAAAATATTTATAGTAATTAAGTAAAACAAACCATCTGTCAAAAATAAGTATAGTATTAAATGAGTAGATTTATTATTTAAAATTAATGTATTAATATGTGTGGTAATAAAAAGAAAATAGTAATAGCATTGTATAAAATTACTCGTTACAGATAATTTGTAACTTTCATGGTGTTGCGAATTCTCGGAGCGAGAATTCAGTGAATGAAAATGACTGAAAATTATTGAATAGAGAAAAACCTTGGATGAAGAAAGATAACATAAAAAATGCAGACTTAGGGAGACGGAGAGAGAAAAAAATATTGCTTCCTACTTTTATCCCTTCGAAAAAAAAGTCGAACGTTACTGGGACGCCGAAAATTTCCCGCGTAATCTTCCACATGCGGATTCCTCGTCGCAAGTCGATCTATTCTGATCGCGATCTCTCTCTCTCTCTCTCTCTCTTTCTCTCTCTCAAAATAGACGACGGAAAAATAATCGCCGTGCGATTTTCGAGCACACGAGTTTTCGGATTAGCGGGCGCCGATGAAGAGAAGGCGAACAGCGCGTCACGCGGGGAAGACCTCCTACCGTTTTTTTTTTTTTTTCAACCCTCCTCTCTTGTCGCCTCCGCGGATATAAAATATACACGGTGGTGGATGTGGATATTCCGAATAAAGTGTGCGCGCGTGTGTATATGGAAGGACTCGTATTCATATGCATGTGCGCGCGCGTGTATTTACGACTGGCATTTGTGTGCATGTGTGGCACGAACCACCCCCGCGACCAGGCAAGGTATTGTGTTTATATGCATATATATCAGGGAAGAAGGGTGGGGGAGGGGGTAGGGTAAGCCTCCGGACTCTCTCTCTTGTACTCTAACTCGGCGGCGTTTTCCGATATTCCAGCCGAAACTCTCGACCGAAAAGCCTTCGGATTCACCGTCCTCTCTCTCTCTCTCTCTCTTTCTCTCTCTCGCTTGGATCGTCATCCCCTTTCTCGCCGCGACGATTCTCGTATGCAACGTCAAACCGTCATATTCGGACAAAATCGAACGTATCCCGCCTAAACGTCTCCGCCATGCAACCTCCGTCTCCCGTTCCCCCGATCTCCATCCGTCGACGCGTTCGAAATATTTATTATTTATAAGCCACGAGAGTCCGGCCCCAAGTTGCAGCGGATATAGATAAATGTATCGAAATTCTTCCTCGTACTTCGATGATGCATTTTTTTTTTTCAATAACATGATAAGCAATTACGTCAAATATTTAGATGATAAAGAGGTCAAGCTAATTCAGAACCAACCGAATAACGACTACGAATTTTACGATAAATTTCGAATTGATTTTTTTTTTTTTTTTTAGAAAGGATTATATTCGAAGAAACTTACAAGTGTTTTGTTACTAGTTGATTAACAATAAATTATATAATTTCGGGTAAAAGAAAGAAATCGTTCGAAAATAAAGATTTCGTTATCTATTTTCCAATTTCATGAGTGAATTGATCGAAATAGGTTCCGTAGTTCATTCATTCGAAAATTACTCCGTAACTTTCGATTACTTCCCGTTGAAACAATCGCCTTTTCTCGCGCGGTCCCTTTTTTTCAAGGATCGCGCTTCGTTTATCCATTTACGTCATTATTCCGACTCGGAAGTCGGAAAGAAACGTAATCGGCCGTAGAGACACCCTCGTGCAATATTTACTTTTATTAATAGCACACGCCGTCCCGCCTCCATCTGCCCGACGGTCCTCATGAAAGTTAAATTAAATTTTGCGATGGTAATGAAATCAGGAGGCACAATAGAACGGCCGGACCGTGGATGCGACAATCCGATCGGCGGATCAATCGGCAACGATCGACGGGAAGCGATCCAAGAATTCTGGTGAAAGAGACCAAAGGCGAAGAGCCAAAAGGGGTCGAGCGACCAAAAAGAGGTAGAGAGAGAGAGAGAGAAAGAGGCGGTGGAAAAAAATCCGAACGCGGCCCGTTCCCGTCGGCTGACGCAACCGGCCCTCGCAAAGGATTTATCTCTCTCTCTCTCTCTCTCTCTTTCCGCCCGTTGCAGGATTGAAATACAGTAATATGTTATTGGTAAGCTCTTCCTTTTACATCGGCGAGCGCCAATAAATGCTGCAGACAGGTTAACGAACCGGCCGCAGAAGACAGGAAAATATGGTGCGAGAGAGCGCCTCTCGCGAGAGAAGGGGGAGAAGGGGGGTTGAAAAAGAAAGACAAGCGGATGTACGCGCGCGGAAAAAAGACAGAGGCAAGAGAAAGAGGAGGCTCAGGGTGGCAGAGAGATACCCGTGGTTCATGCCAGAGATTCCAAAGAGAGAGAGAAAGAGAGAGAGAGAGAAAGAGACAGAAGACCATCACCACCCATCGTCACGATAGAAGTGGCATCGCTAAACTGTCGACTTCGAGCTTTTAATTCGCGATCAAAGGACCGTAACGATCCGTCGGTGCCCTCTCGGCACTGGCCACTCTTT